TCAGGTACTTGGGTCAAATAGACATAAGCATACCAAATCATGTTGTGAATTGAAATACAAGTATAGGGTGTGTATTGTTTAATAAATATATTTTCCAGTTAACCCAGTAAGCTGCATTGTGCCCCAATGCACCCTGCTTTACTAGTTTATTTCACTTCATCTAATGCCAGATGATTTTACTTATCGAGGGAGAGTGCTGCTGCTCATTGAGCTCTGATTGAGTTCACTGAGTGGCAGCACTTTCCCCTTGACAAGTGAAATTGTCTGGCATTAGACAGAGTAAAATAATCTTGCGTTTAATCAAGCAGCTACTTTTTCAAAAGCTCAACCAGGCTAAAGATTCTTTGATTTGAAAACCAAAGTGATAGTGAACTAGTTAGTTGAAACAAACAGAATTGTTTGATTTATTTACTTCCCACAACATTGACAATTAAAATTTAATTTGATACTTTTCCAGTATATTGACATTATATAGGTTCAGATTTGATTACCATTAAGGGACCATCAACCAATCAAATGCATTTGATATATTCGATCAACCATTATAATGAAAGTGTGAGTTTATTCATAAACTAATTATAAATCAACTTCCATGCAATGCTTCATGCAATCATCTAGTTATGCACCAGTCAATGTAAATCCCTGCCCCCAACCGGGGAGGGGCGGGAGGTTTTGCGGGGAAAGTGGTCAGTTTTGATTATAAATTTGTCCCCGATGATGGGAGACTTGGACGGTGGTTAACATATATATCCTGTGTTGCTGTTTTAGTTTTCTTGACAAGAAAAGTTTAAATACAACAACATAAATGAATTTGATTTTCTATTGCTGATCTATGATTATACAAAACTATTTTCCTGGGGTTGAGAGACATGCAGGGGACATCAGGGTCTTAGCTAGGATTTTAGATCTTGGGTGTGTTTCTAAATTACCAGGGTGTGCACATGTCAATTACCTTGCATAGCCAATTTTACGGTTCTACAACAACGGACAATGCCTATGGTTGTTCTATGCTTTGCAACCAAATACAAGGCAAGCATATACTCATTTTGCTCACTGACATTAAAATATTAAGTTATTTCAGCAACTCTTGGAGGTATTTAAAACCATTTTAACACCATACAGTTCCCATTATCCATCAAAACATTAAAACATCACAGATCACTTTTGCCAATTTCAACAACAACAGATTTTACAAACTTTCTTATAACGTAAATAGAAATAAATTCTGTCTGTTGCAAGTAGCACATCTTATTTTATGAACATACATGGCCTTATATAAATAATGAAGCCGCGTTCATTTTATCTAGCCGTGTTTTTCCATTTTTGGCCGTGATAACATGGCTAACATGGCCCTCTAGCTAAGACCCTGGGGGACATTGATGTCCCTGGGGGTGGGGACAATTTCGCTCTTTTACTACCCCTCCAAGTCAAAATCCCTGCCCCTCCCTCGTTGGGGGGTTTACATTGACTGGTGCATTAATTAAAGAAGTGTCAGTGCCACATATGTAGTAAAAGCCAACTTGTCAGTAAAGGCCACAGAGCAAGATTGTATTTCCAAGACTGCCAGTGACAAAAACAATTGATAGTCCTGAAATAGAGTATGCCAACAGTTAGTATACTGCAAATAACTATTCTATCAACAAGATAATGTGTAATAGGTTTTGTTTGTGGAAACACCACGTAAATTTATTACTGCAAAGCTTTCGATCCGTAAGCCCGGATCTTCATCAGTGCTAATAATAACATATTATTAATAATAACATATTATTAACTTAAGATAATGTGTGTTTTACAAGTGTTTTTTATATATCAATCCAATGGCATGTAACCTAAAATTCAGCAGTGTCTGTGTAATGAAATACACCCTAACTTCTCAAATATGGTCAAATTAACTATACTACATTGTGCATAATAATATATGGACTGGTTCAAAAATATATTGAATTTATATTAGTGAACTTGACTGAACTGGTGAACTATTGATGTAGAGATTATGCCAAGTATAGAATGGCACAAGGACTTTCATGTTATCAGCATGATTAAATCGTGAGATTGTGCAAATAATCTTGGTAAATCTCTTACAGATATCCTCAGCAGCTACATTTTAAGGTAAAATGACTATGGTAAAGCTATTCAAGGCAAAAAAGCAATGGATCTGTCAACCTCGTTGTCAACAGTAAATTTAGCTAAGTTTATGATCCATTTATTGCCGTATTTTAGCTGAGAATTCATTTAAGACAATGCAGTACGATAGACTTACCTTTGAATTTATGATATATTCTTTTAAAATGGTCACCAAAGCTCTAAAACTCGATTGGTATCGTTTTAACTTTCTCACTCCTCAATGTTTACATGAAAATTTGTCAAATTACACTTGTTTGGGGCACTGGAAACGAGACACGGCCAAGATGCGCGAGGCGACATGCGCGAGGACATCAACATCAAAGATTCCGACATCGAGTGAGACTTCTGGTCTTATTATTTATTTTGTGATGTTACTAAAAAACTTGTTAAACGCCTAACGGGTTTTTATATCATTTTTATATTTGTTATGAGAAATTTGAAGTTAGTCCTTTCTGAATGCAATGATCTTTATTTCATTGCGATAGCTTTTATAATTTATAGAGTTTCGCCGTAGAGTTTCAAGTTACTGAGACTGGCTCAACAACTAAACTTGCAATAATTTCAGGGATTAATTTCGCGATTAACGACACTGTATATATGTCTGTATAAATACTGGCATTGTAGGTCAAGATTCAAGACAGTTTTTCATTCATAAAATCTAAAAATAAAATATATCGCTATATATACCTTGCTTATAGTATATGGTCATATAAATGCGACCTATAATCTAGTTGTACGCAGTGACGATCGAGATTGTCTAGCTTGCATGCTTTATCGTTGGCTGTCATTATAGATGCAGGTGAAGAAGTTCGTTGTATGGCTTGCATATAAAATACACCATATAAATATACATCGACAACGGCCGACAGCAAGACAAATTACGAAGAGTATTAATGAAATATTGATAATTACATCAATACACACGAATAAAATATAAGCTTACCAGAGAATTGAAGTATTTTCGCTTCATACCAGCTCGTTATCACATCACCCTTCTTCTTCTTGACCCTCCAAGCCACTGGTCGAATCTCACCCAATTTAGCCTCTCCTGTTATATCCTCCTCTTCCACTACACTAAATTGTTGGTCGTCATTCCAAAGGACAAGAGCAAATTTATTTCCGACATAATTCCGAAGATAAAGTTGGTTTGTAATAGAAACAGTGCTGTGTACGAGCAATCTGTCGCATGAAATATCAATTCGACAGCAAAAAAAAATCAATTCGACCGCCAAAATTGGACACCGAGGAACATCGACCAATCAGTGAGGGAGATTACAAACATGTGATCGAAAGACTCGGATTTCAGCCAAACCTTTATCAGATCTACAATCAATACATTTTACACGACAGCTGTTTTACTGCATTCCTTGTATATGCGGATATTGTGTTCTTGCAGATGTTGATGCGTGTCATGATTGTCGTATTGTACATAAACTGGTATAAAATTTAGCAAAAATGTCTGAGGCGCCAGTAAAGAAAAAGAGAAAGACAAGAAAAGAAATGCTTCAGGGTATCATTAGAATCGGCAGTCACAGAAAGAAATGTATGAGGATTCAGAAACAATTCTCTCAAAGTACTCAAATAGCATGCCATGGATCATTCATCACAACATTTAATACGTCCGATACGCCGCAAACCCACGCATTTCAGTTTTGGCATAGTTTTGGCAAATTCACGCGCAGAGAAGAAATATAAACTTTACTCTTTATATAAGGACGTTGCACAGTAAGATCATAGTTGGCTAAGATATATTCACTTTATATAGGAGTTGCATTATTGCGTGGTGAGGATGAAACGCATGCCTTTAAAGACTGGCCTACTGCCGACACACAAATTATAGTATAGCTATAGTACGTCCTCTTAGACTGTATACTGTATAATAGCAATAATAAACACGCGCGAGTATATATATCCGACCTTTTCCACTGCTAAAAGTATAAATCATAAACTTATCATCTGTTTGTCTACTGAACGCAACAACAGCCTTTCAATTAAAAAAGACTTAAGTCCGCGTAAGTCTAAATGTCTAATTAGAATACCGTACGTATTGCTAGACCTTTCAGTTCAGCAAAGAACAGCGGGATATCAAATTTACCAAAAAGACTTATTGTAGACCTTTGTAGACCTTTCAAGACTTTGTCTCAAGACAATTTTACAGTAGCCAAAGCATGAAGGTCTTGCAAGACAATCGGTAGACTTTTAATGACACATAAATGTCTAGGAAAGGTCTAGGATAGGCCTACAAGACTTTTTCTAGACTTTTTACGATCTATTTAGACCTTTCGTTTTCCTACGGGTGTGCATTATAAGCAGGCTTTTAGCCAGGGTCCTGAAAGAGGGCGTCCAATTTTGGTATAACTTTACATCTACAGTAATACTAAAGAGGGGTTGAGAAAACGTTCCTCTGGAAAACCTTTGAAGTTTACGTTATTTCATGTCAGTATCTGTTCCAAGCTCGTTGTAAATTTTTCAAACACACTTGGCTTTGTGAGTTTGGTGCTGCTATGCTTCTTTACTTCATTATGACAATTCATTCAGCCAGGTACACCATCAAATTGATAAAAATGTCAAATGTATATTAATAATAATGAGAATTGAAGCTATTTCGTTTCAGATATATTAATACTGTGTACTTTTAGGGAAATAATTGAAAATAATTTCCCTTTTCCTCCATGAATTTGGGTGTCCAAAGGTGTCCATTTTTCGTTCTAGGCTAAAAGCCTGATTATAAGAAGAGGTTGACAATTGTAACAATTAAGATTATATTGGGATCGAGTGGATATATATATATATATATATATATATATATATATAACCCTTCACACTGTCTTAAAATAACATGGATTAAAATTATATACTGTATATGCACAAATTGATGCAGTATACATATTTATTCTGTCTAAAGTCAGGCTCCCACCAGCAATTTTGTTGGTAATTTGCTTTTCCTAAAGTATGGAATCACGTTTCGGAAATATAACATTTCAAAGTTTTTTGCATGTCACTCGATCGATCATTCAATTACAGTGTACATGCACCGGAAAAAAATTCACCAACCAAGGTGAACCAATTAGCCTAACACCAGACATTAATACTTATCAAGGAAATGTGAACATTGATGTGTTAACCAGACTCTTAAAAGCATACCATGATGTCTCTTTTTAACCATTTAAAATACAATGTGACCTGATGCACTCTACCATACTTTGTGTCTTTGATACAAGTGTGTCTAATAAAGGGTTTCATGTATTAATTTAATATGGTAAAGACTAGTTTAACATTTATCAAATACAACTTACCTATAGTTAGTTCATCCCCTGATGCTTCACTACATTGGACACATTTCTCCAAAGCGAGCTTTGCATTTTCCAATAACCCTTTTAGAGCAAGGGGCTTGATACGTATATGATATGCTTCAGCTTCCAATTTTTTATCTCCGAGTTCACTTGCTAGTTTTGCTAACTGTTCTGTGGTTGTAATCACATTATCATAACTTGCTTTTGTGAACCATAAGTCACTCAATTCTTTCAAAAGTTCTGCCTGACTTTGTGTTGAATAGCAGGAACCGGAAACTTTGAGAAGGCGGTTTAAGATTTCACAGCAGGTGGTTATGTTGCAATAGCCATATCGATGTTTTTTCAATAGTTTTAAAAGACATGAAAAATCTTCTGGGGATTCAGTAATGTCACTGTCTAACTTGAGGTCAGAGAGCACTAAAAGGTATTAAAAAATTGGCAAGGTTGTTAGAAAAGGTGACTAGCAAGATTTTGTTGCAATCTCACTATTGTGGTTATAGAGCTTGACAACTGGTCTCTGTTAATGTAGCTCTGTATAACTCAGTTGGTTAGAGCACTGCACCGGAATTACAGGGCTGCAGGTTCGATTCCTGCCAGGGACGTATACTGTAAAGTTTAATTTTCACATCTGTTCATGGTTAGGTCTAGTAAATGTATATCAATTTCCACTAGACAATTTCCATCTACCAGATCTATCAACAATGACTAGCAAGAAGCATGGTAGTTGGTGCAGTATCCATTCCCTTAGGTAACTTTTTTCACACTCTGCTTGAGGTGTTATGTGGGGGGAGGGGGGGGGGTGGTACCACTGGTTGACCCCGCCTTGTGGTTGACCCTCATTTTTCAGCACAGCAAAGGGCTTGGCACAGCAGCTCCGTACCTAATTTACATAACACATTACACTACCCTGATTGGGATGCCTGACAACATACCTGCAAGTTGTTTCAATAACTGACAGAAATTTGGTATTGCTGTTATATCTGCGATATCATTTGAGTCGCCCAACTTCAAGCCATCACACACCTCTAGAATTTGCTATAAAAAGGGAAGATTACATGTAACATATTAATAATTCCCTTTACCTGAATCAGTAAAATCATCTGGCTTAAAACAAGTAACATATTTAAAATAAAGACATTTGCAGAAGTATTTGCAGACATATTTGCAGGTGGTCTGGTTTTGCCAATTATTGTCCAACAACTTCACCCTTGGTTAGTAAAATAGTCTGGTGTAATAACTGTGTTCAACTTAATAATAGTGTACAAGTCATTAAATGTACAAGCATACCTTTTTAACGCTCTCTTTTTCCAAGTTTCGCTTTCTCGAACGAGCGTTCTCTTCTCTTTTCAAGCGTTGTTTTTCAGATTCCTGCGAAGCATTATAAACTGCGTGTTTTATATCCCCGACTGAACTTTTCGACGTTTGGCTGCTTGCAGGAGCTGAAAATGGCCCTCGTACATTTGCCATTTTGCTTTTTGATAGCTAGCTACTTAGCTAGCCTAGCTTTAGACTTTCGTCTCTGAGAAATTGTATACTGTGTTTTCTGTGTATGTTACATATTAAATACATCGGAGTTCTGAATGATTTCGACGCTTTGTTTGTAGTGTCGTAGATAGGTTTTGGGATACCAAAAATACCCTATTTATATACATGTATTGATGTTCCGGGAAAATCCCTTCCGGGAAATTCGATATGAAAAAATGACGTATTTCTTAAATACAAAGAGTGACGTATTTCACAATTATAATAACTATTATTAGAACAATACCACAGAATAAGTGTCTCTTTTCTGTGACAATACGTTTGTTTATGTTCAGCATGGAGGCCTATAATATATTATTTAAACCCACCACGGCCACAGGCCTATAAACTTGTTAGCTTTCACAATACTGCATTAGCTTAGTATTTGTTTGATTGAAATATGTGGGTTCATGAATTACTGCAAAAGGTGTGTTTTACTATAAGGGACCAGCACTAATCAGAAGATGGTGCGCTTGTTTCTATATTTATATACTGTAAAGTGTCAACTTGGCTTGACAACCAATCAACCATCTCCATCTGCTGTACGTAAAGCAAATTACTGATTATGGAACACAGTATTTTAAAATGTATAATATTCCTTTTAATATTCTGTGATATTGGTATATATGAAATTGCAACCATTGACATAACCTGATTTTCGTCGGGAGGGACCGTAAAACGAATTCCTTCCGATTGAGATCACGAACTTTTAAAGCATGCGTTTTAAAAACTGGTAATGTCACCATGAATCAACAAAAATGTTTACAAAAATCATATTTCAGTTTTATTACCGTGCAAAAAAAGTGAAATTATTTCTGCTTTACTGACAAAGCAATTTAAGTTATAAATATGTCTTCTCAATTCGAAGTGAAGCTGCATATTTATGATCTCTCGCGTGGAATTGCCAAGCAAATGTCGCCCATACTGTTAGGTTTGTAAAAAAAAATAATAAACCGAAATATTTTACTTTACTTTGGTTAGAAATTTTGTGCTGTTGCAATTTATATGTTCATGTATATTTCTTTTAAATTTTATCCCCATATGCAAACGTTGGTGAAGTTAAATATACATGCTACTGTAGACTTCAAGACCTGAGATTTGAAAAATTTGAATTGATAGTGAATTTTATTTTTTTATTTGCAGGAAAACAAATTAATGGGATATGGTAAGTACACTATGTATATACACAATGTTTAGTGCTCCTTGGATCTCGTTCCCTATAATATTATGCATCTCACCGGACTGTGACATTGCTTCAAAAATTTGTATCGCTACTACTTCTATATTTGTCTACAGCCATGCCTGTGGCTGACTGGAAGCTTAGAAATTGCACGCCGAGATTTCGAAAATTTAATAGTAAATATATAGAAAGCATCAAAATTGTGTGCCCCCAAGATATCGGGCACGCAGTACAAACTTTCCACACTGGCACCTATGTGGTTTTGCATTCTAATTTAGAAACTGCATATCACCTTTTTACAGTAGTTGCTACTAAACCCAGACTTGTCCCCATTCGCTTTTAAATATAAGAGCGGGTGCACGGCCAGAAGTGGGCGCGTAGAGGCTCACAGGAAGGGCGAAAGAACTTCCCTTTTCCCTTTGCGTGCGTCCACCTTTGGTACTGATATATATATATATATATGAAATTCAAATAACGACTGGGGATGAGTCTGTACTAAACCCTGGTCAAACAAGGATGAGAGTTGAGAAGCGAGAGTTTGCATGAGAGTTTTCTCAACTTTCAACTTTTTCTCAACAAGAACACAGAATAGATACTAGACCAGAAGTGTCACTCAGACGATATTTCGTCCGAAATTTTACGTGCGCTGACGTGAAAATACGCCATCATATGACGGCATCCTGGAGTACACACGGAAGTTTTTCATGGTACAAACATAGGTACAAAGTGGCATGTGCACTCCAGGATGGCGTCATAGTACATAAAAAATTTCAGACATTTTTCCCAAGCCAAAACACATAGGAGTGACACTTCTGGTCTAGTATCTATTCTGTGACAAGAACAAGAGTTGCATGAGAATTAGCCTGCGAACAGGCTCTCTTTGAACTCTCATTGAAGTTGACTGGATGTTACCACATTCATAGTGAAAACTCTCATCAAAATTTCAATCAGTTCAAAGTTGATAAAAGTGTGTAAAGCTACATTTACACGCTGCGATTAATTCTGTACGATTCGTTTTCTGGCATATGTCATTGAGTAAACACGCGTAAGCTGGCTACATTTGAAATCTCTTTTAACGAAACGGCAATGAATTATGGTGCCAGCACTCATTTTAATACGCCAGAATACGAATCGTACACGATTAATCGTAGCGTGTAAACGTAGCTTAAGAGTCAATGAGAACTGGTGGTCGAACAGGAGTTGCAACTCTCATCCACTAAATTAGTTCTTGCAAAACTATGCAGATTTGCATGTCACATCTTACCTATATGAACAGGCTTTTGATTAGTTGATTATGACGATAAAAAGTGATGAGCATTTTTCTCTCAGAAAACCAACCACAAAACTTGATCATTCAAGATAGCTATAGTATATATTGACTATATACAGTAGCTGGAATATTGTATGTTTACATTTTAATTGTTTTCACACTTTACAGGCACACAGGTATAACAGTCTATGGAAAAGAATACTTTTTTGGATCAGGAGGCATTGAGTACTGCCCCCCTGTAAGTATAATATTCAGCTGATAATATTCAGCTCATTTTTCAATGAGTTATTCCAGACAACATTGTTCATGGAGATATTGAAAATTTACTGTAACCCTCTCTTCCCTTAGAACATCCTAGTAGAATAAATCCATTTACCAAGTCAAGTCCGAGTCAATTCTGAGCCTGAGTCAAACGCCTAGTGGAAAACGGGCTTAGGGAAGTTAATAGGCTTCCCGACGACAGACCTTTGTTCAAAATGTTGAAGTTCTCCTTTGTATCCCTATCAATCTGCAACTTTCACAGAAAACTGTGACTAATTATATGTGATTCTAATGTTGAATAGTGTGGCACAATTTTGGGTGATCCTGATACAGTCCAAGACATGGGTTTAACACAAATACCTGAAGATGTTTTTGAACACTATTTGATTGGATTAAGTGAGAAAGAATTTAGGTAAGGATACAATGCAATACAGCAATAAAGTTTAATATACAGTACAATCACAGGTGTTCAGCTATACCCAGGGTTCAAATTAATGCTTACGGTGTAGTTTTGACTGCTAAAAACAGGTTTTAAAAAATTTTGGTAAAATGCAACCCACAGCATACCCAGGAAATTTTTTAAAAATTCAAAAAGTGCCCCAACCACTCCAAACTTTCTGAAAATTGTTGAAAACCATTTCTCTCATCAAAACAGTTTGTTTCGCGTGATAAAAACATGTTTTAAAAAATTTTGGTAAAATGCAAAGGGAGCCCAGGTTGACGATCTTGGCAAGATCATAGTTAATATAGAAGCAAGGTCTTATCAAGGTCTTACCAAGATCTTACCATGATCTTGCCATGATCTTACCATGATCTTACAAAGATCTTGTATAAATCCTGCAAGTTCTTGCAAGATCTTTCTAAGATCCTGCAAGATTGTGCCATGATCTTACCATGATTGTGCCATGATCTTACGAAGATCTTGCCATGATCTTATGAAGATCTTGCTATTATTTTGATCTTACATAATCCCTTACGTGATCTTTTGATATTACATGATCTTACGAAGATCTTGCCATTATCTTGCCATGATCTTACGAAGATCTTAGGCACAGAGGACACAATATTATAACTTTGGTGACTGACTGAGTTGTGAGCTAGCCGACTGACTATGGACCAACCAACGTACTAACTGAACATGCAGCAATGGTAACTGTCCAAATGACCATGCAACTAGGTACCCAACCAAATGACTGATCCAAATGTGCATGATTTAGCAGTGATGGCTGTGGTACGTCATGGGAAAAATGGTTTCAATGTAACAAAGTTTATATCAAATCCATTTTATAGACCTGAGTGTTATAATCTTTTTGAACACAACTGCAATACTTTTTCAAATGAAGCTGGCCAGTTTCTTACTGGACGAACCATTCCAAAGTACATTCAAGAACTGCCCAAAGATGTGTTAAATACGTAAGTAGAGTTTGGGTTTAATCTGTTATTAATCAGACTATCTGCCTATGCCATGTGGGATGCAATGACATGGGGGCGTAACTTTGCATTTTGCAATTATCATTTTCTGTTTAATATAATTTATATATCATTATAAATTCCTCTGGCACTATTGCCATTTATTATAATTTTTGTTTTATTTTATGATTAAAATGTACATACTGTTATTGTATGAGTAATAAAATGTGGTACATACAAAAATGCTTTTTAATTAATTGTCAAACGATGGGCAAAATATTAATCCTTGTAACTTTATTTTGGTTTGTTATTGTCTGCACTCAACACAAAATGGAAAATGACCATTGCCAAATGCAAAGTTATGCCCCTATGTCATCACTATTTTGACATGTGAAATGTAAATTTGTCCAATCGCAACGTTGGTTCAAAACTCGGAAACAACTATTACGGTGTCAGTATCACAACCTGGGGTAACGCTAGCCTACGAGCAGTTCCTCCTTTCCACGGATTTAGCTTGCTCGCGGTCTGGGATAACACATGAATGCCAATATTGACTTCTATTTGTTAATTACAGGCCATTTGGTGCAATGATAAAGCCAATATTTGATTCCATGTCTGTCCGACCAAATGCAGAGAATGCAAGGACATTACCAGCAAGAAGTAATACTGCAGCAACAGATCCATTGACAGTCTTTGAACCCAGGCCTACTACATCGGGAAACAATTCTGATTCCTTTATAGGGTGAGTTATCAAACTGGTACGGGGCTGCCCACGGGCTATCAAACTGGTAGACATGTCAGAAACAACCCCTACCACCTTAACCTGTGTTCCAGTCCACTACACCATTATGTGTGGACTGGAACACAGGCTACCACCACATAGAGTTCACTGGCTACCACCACCCTCCCTTCTCTTTCTCTCTCTAACTAATTTCTGAAATCCTGTATATTGTAATTAATGACTGCAGATTTACTGATTTACCTAACATTATTTGAACATTATTTGAATATTTATATAGTATGTATTTGCTTTGAACATCTAAATATATGTGATTATAAGAAAGTGATGATTTTATTGGCATGTACATCACAGCATGTCATTTTTAATTTGTTATATTAATCGGTATTTATTATCTCTTCTTAATCTTCAGTGAAAGTTCGAAAGTCCAGTTACAGCAGTCAAAAGACAATCCAATTGTTTATGACAATTACAAAGTAATGAATATACAGTATTTCAACGAACATAGAAGTTTTTTTAATGTATATTATTACTGCACAATTATTGGTAATGAAAGAACATGGTGATGATTCTGTTACAGTAATAATGTAGTTGTAAAATTTTGCTTATTTTTATGCAGGTGTCATCACTCGTGTCTAGCTTAGAGCAAATGATAGAAAAAGGAGAATTGACAGAAAATGAAGTACATCAAGTGAATGAAATTGAAAGAATAATGTCAGAAAAAGGAGATCAAGTTAGCAAAGGCCATCTTCAGTTGCTAGGTTTGTGAAATGTTCTCTGTTGACATGTCTTAGCAAATAGACCTTTCTTAAGACTGCTATACACTATCAAAGTTTCTGTGATCGCAGTAGGAATTTGCATATGTACAGTAAATTCTATGTTTTGAAGAATTTCTGAGAAATGTTTGAGGGAACTAACTCATTATTAAACACTGAGTGACTGAGTACAGTACATGCGCACAGTATGTCATGTAGTTGACTTCAGGGGGCTCCTATAGAAGCCCACCTCCCCGAGCATTTCCCGCAAAATGTATTTGGTTTAATTAATGTATTTTTGTTGACTACTTGAGCTTGATAGCAGCATAACATTATTTTGCCATGAAATTTGTGGTTAATGGCTGCTAATAGATGGAGACAGGGCAGGAAGTACCGGGGGGTGGTGTAAATTTTTTTACAGGAGGGGGCCACAAAAGGAAGGGGGCCCAATTTTGTTAATTCACCCCCCCCCCC